TTTTCCTCTTTAGCAAAGTGTGCTTCAGCATCCCAAATATCTTCTTTAGATGTAGCTGCATTTCCTTCTTCCATATGTTCTGATGGAAAATCCCTTGCTCTATGACGCTTCTTGTTGCAGTTATAATATTTAAATGGAAACTTTTTGTTTGAGTAATTTTTTTTTTGCTTCTCTTCAGGATGCTCTCTCTTCTCATAGTCATGATTCTTTCTTTCATCACCATGACTTTTGTATCTCTCTGAGTTTCTTTTGTAACTCGAATTGTTCTTTGTCTTAACCTTCCCTTTTCCCTTCTCCACATATAAGGCTTCCTCCTCAGCTTTTAATGTGACTCCCCCCATTAATGGTTGTACAGGCCATCCCTGAATAGCTGCCACAAAGCTTCTAAATTCTGATTTTAGGCCATGTATAATGATCCTTTTCATACGAGTCTCACTGATATGAGATAGTGGATCTAGTTCTGAAATCTCCTTGCAAGTTGACTTCACTTTATGGAAGTATTGAGGAATAGACACCTCACGTTGAGACACAGAGAGAAACTCATTTTCTAGAAGTTGCAACTTTGTGCCATTCTTTTTCGAGAACAGTGATTGAAGAGTTTTCCAGGCTTCGGCTGGAGTCACAGCATCCCGGATGTGTTCAAGAATGTCTTCTTCAACTGTTGTCTTCATAATAAACATTGCCTTTCCTTCCTTGATCTTCCATTTTCACAGAACCCCATTGTTATCTTCAGCTTCTAGTTGCCGTTTCTTAGTACAGTTTACAACCTACCACAAATCTTGCCCCTTCATGTACGAAGTGATACAGGTGCACCATGTGTTGTAATTTTGGTTTTTGAGTTTCTTGACACCACCTACTACTTGAAGATCAACCATGAGTCTGGCTCTGATACTAGATTGTTAACATAAATGAAGTATTTGCAGAGAACATGAACACACAAGTAATTTACACAAAATTTGTGTTACTTGATTCTTGAAGATGTAAATTACAGAACATTGAAAACTACATAGCCATGAGGATTACATAGAAACGGAAACTGCAAAAAAATAACTGATCCACTAACATCTACTTGAGAACATAAAGGAAACCTACCCATTACTTGAAAGACAAAATCAAATGACTAAAACTTCGAAAGAAACAAAAGGGCATAGAGGTAAAAAAAAAAAAGGATAGAAATGTGCAAAGAGACCAATGCACGTGACCAGGTGTTGTGCTTTAACAATTTTTATTACGTTAATATTTTTTTTTGTTGATTTGGTTCATGTGATGAAGGAAAATACTAAAATTTGATTGCTGAGTTGCCATGATCCTCACGTTCATTTTTTGATTCTATTTGGTTCAGTAAGGTGAAATTCCAAGTGATATAACTGGGAAAGTCAATTCTTTAGCTTAGTCACAACTTTATCTATTGCCTTGCTGCTATTTTGGTAATAAAAGTCTCCCATTTCAAAATGTTTGTGTTTCTATGTTGCTGTGTTTCTGGTGACAACATCCGTTACATTTTTTTTTGTTCTCTTATGTCCTTGTTAACATTAATAGTCAACCAGAGGAGTTCCCACTCCCTGCTTAAGGCTGAGTCACTCGACATCAGGGCCGGGCCAACACGATTGGAGGCCCGGGGCAAAATAAAAAATGGGGCGCTTTCAAAAAATTTATGTATTCGTATATTACACTATTTTGTACATACATAACAATACATTTAAATTTGTACACCATAGAATGGGGAAAACTAAAAATACAATACTATTAGAAGTACAAAAAATACTAAAGTCCCATCCCATTTGTTTCTTTAGTAACTTGTTTAGGAATAGTTATGTTCCCGTACATAAGTTGTTGACCTCTAATTGAAGTAGATTTATCATCGAAAAAAAATTGTTAGGTGAATTGCTTAAATCCAGAATACTTGTTGTTGTTAATAACTTGGAAGTAGTTGAAAAAACTATACAACAACAGAAAATTCTATACATATCAAAAACATAGAAATAGAAATAAAAAAGAGTACCATTCATAAATAAAAAATAAGAATATTAACATTACAAATCGAACATAAGCAATAAAGTTCAATAATTGTCTCTAACTCAAAAATATTAACATTTTATTATGTCTCTAACTTGAACAACCTCATAAAAATCGAATTTCAAAAAAGAATAAGAAATTTCAAGAGCAATAGAACATATAGAGATTCACAGTCATATTATCATAAATCAATTTCACCTCTAACAGTCGATTCTGAAAACTGAGCCTTCAAATTTCTAGAAATTGAGAAAGAAATCCAATTAAGGTAGTGACTGGAACTCTGGATTCAAACCTCTAGGCCAGATTCCTAAAATAAATCAAATAACCTGATTAACTTTCCATTGGTGCTATATCTAAAAAGGTAATCCACAACAAGAAGGAAAACAACAGAGTTTTCCGTTTTCTGAAATCGTGAAAAGAACGAGACACAATCAGTCTCTCAATTCTAAAATAACATTCGATTCACTAATGGTTGTTGTGGACGAATTCAGAAAATCAGAAAAGAATGAAAGAAATCGATTAACTTGAAATCTTGAATAAGAAAATAGAAGAATGATCGTTAACTCTTGCTTTTGGAGAAGACGTCGTTTGGATTTTCTATAGAAATATGACTGTTGAACAGATACGACGCCTTGGAATTAGGACGCATGCCAGGTACGTCTCGTTCCCTCCCACGCGCCATCTTTTGGATTAGTTCTTGATCAGAGTTTGAAGTAGTCCAATTGGCTAAAAAGTAATGTGTTGTTAATATATAACCAAAATAACAAGTTCAAAATTGGGGCCCTGTAGCATTTGGGGGCCGGGGCGGTCGCCCAGCCCTGCCCATGCCCACGGGCCGGCCCTACTCGACATACCATTCCCATCACATGATCATCAACAAGAGATGGTCATTGGAACTTCTGAAAAGAAAGGAGAACAGGAAGCAAGTTAGCAAAATTAATATAAATGCATTGTAAAGTGATGACACAATTACATACACAACCATTGCACAATAATTAGTAATTTAGGCTTTTTTTTTTTTCATTATGCATGATATGACAAAGTACAATGCCTTATGTCATGTCATGCACGATGAAAACTGCCTAAATTACTTGGATGTTGTGGTCATTATAAAAGATCAAAAGTAGTCTTTGTCCCACCTTTTTAGATGATATAAGAATTTATAATTTTTGTCCCATTTCCTAAGTTCTGGTGTGACTGTCCCAAAATTCCAAACACAACTTAAATGGCCTTGATTTGATTCATTCTGCTTTTAACATATTAATACAATCTCAAAGGTTCATGTTAGATATAAAAATAAAACTACTTTTTTTGTAAGAACTTTGGGAAGTAATAAAATATCAGTTAGTTTTTAAAGGAAACAAAAGAAATAAACAAAAAGAGTGAAGCAATTACATGAGATGACCCACAGAACACATGAATATTTTTGATATAATTGTGGCCATAGTACCAAAAAATGATCTTCCATGTGTAACCTGTAAAGAAGGACGCCACTTAAAGGTGACGTTGCAATTATGTCCTAATTTATAATAGAATTAAATTTAAAAGAAAATTGTAAAATCGGTCTACGTGGTTACCAAAAAGTAAGCTTGAGTTCAATTTTCTTGACACATAATTAATCCAAAAATAAAAATATCATGCAGATTTGATCCCTAGAAAATTGGAATGCACTTGAATTCACTATTTATCTTCCTCATTTTCTTTTTCATTTTCTTTTATTTACTTCAATATTTCTATAATTAAAAAAAAACCCTAATAACCTACCCAACCCAACACTTTTTCTTTTAGTATAGCAACTCTCTCTCTCTCTCTCTCTCTCTCTCTCTCTCACCACCGGAAATATCTCGCCGGAGCACCACCGTTATTGGACCACAGCCATCCTCCCATCTGTTCTTCTCCACCTTCACCGGAGCTTCCATCATGTCGTTGGAACTTACGCTGGCCACTAACGAATCTCTTGTTGGAACAAACTCTGCAACCTCCAAATAAATAAGAAAAGAAGAAGGAAAACAGATACATAGGACTACATCTTTCTGTCCTCTTACTATTAACTGGAACCATAACATACAATATATACACGTACCTAGCTTGTTGCTTACTCCACTTTTAAGGGAAACAAACTCACCTAGTCAAAGCAATAAAACAGGATCAAACTAAACCTATCTAAACTATTCTAAAATTCTGCAAAATAAACGTGGCCTACATGGCCTTTACTAATTCAAACTCTACAAGAAGGACTAAAATACCCCTAAGGATAATTACGTGATTAACTAAGTTTGGATTAACACCAACATCTCTCCTCCTCTCTTGATCTAACCTGCATTTTATAATTAACTCCTCTAATCTCGAACCTTTCTTTGATACCAGTTTGTTGGAATCAAGTATATAACAACATCTCATCTGCAGGAAAGATTAATGCATATAAACAGGAAGATGGAGAATTGGATCGATCTGTGCTAAAAACAAAGGTTTTATTAACAGCACAAGAACAATTTACAACGAATAGATTCCATACACAAGTCAAAAGTATAAATGCATATCAAGACTTGTGTTTGAAACAACTTGAAAAGAGTTAAAAATCCAGGTAAAGACAAAAATGAATTAAAACTAGTTTCATTGACGCTTAAATTAGCAATATTTATAATGTTAGCACACGAGACAACACATTTGTACTGATCTCACCAAGAGATATATAGGACAACTCCAAAGGGAAACTACTTTCTTTTATTAATAGAAGGGAATTTAGACGTTTTACTAATGCTAAGAGACTTTTCTTACGTCAACGATAAAACAAACATATAATATATAATAAAATATTCATAAACTTCTAATTATAATAAATATGTTTTAGCTAAGTCATCATATCATGATAATTGATCAGAAAGTTGGCCATTTCTGAAAACAAAATCTCATATAAATTCTAATTGATTCCACCCTACTTTTCATCAAACATTCATTTCTAGCGAGAGATAGAAAGAACCACAATGAAGATCTTCAGCATAGGTGCATTCCTTCTTGGATTGCTGATCATCCTGGTTTCATTTCCACCAGAGATTTATGGAAAAACTTGTCACCCAAGTGGTGGCATAAGGGGAAGGAAGCCCCCTTCAGGACAATGCAACACTGAAAACGACTCTGTTTGTTGTATCCAAGGAAAGTTCTATACCACCTACACATGTTCACCACCTGTTTCAAGTAGTACAAACGCAACACTAACTTTGAACAGTTTCCAGAAGGGAGGTGATGGAGGTGGCCCATCAGAATGTGACAAGAAATATCATTCTGACGACACACCTGTTGTTGCACTGTCAACAGGATGGTACAAAGGAGGGGATAGGTGTCATAATTTCATAAGGATTAATGGTAATGGGCGAAGTGTGAAAGCCATGGTTGTTGATGAGTGTGACTCTTCGATGGGTTGTGATGAAGAACATGACTATCAACCACCATGCCCTAATAACATTGTTGATGCCTCTAAAGCAGTTTGGAAGGCATTGGGTGTATCCCTAGAAAATTGGGGTGACTTGGATATCACCTGGTCAGATGAATAAACATCTCTTACTATATATATGACTCCAGTACCAAATTCCTGTGTTTATTCTTGTATGTATGTATTTGAGTGTGATTACCTTTGAATATTAAAAGTTAGTATTTAAATAGTAAATGCATAGTTGTTCTTGAAGAGACAATTATAAGGTTATGTTTGGCGCAGAAAAAATAGTTTGTAGGTGATAAAAAATTACATTTGTAGTTGATAATTTACTTGTAATTAATTAATATAAAAAATAATATAAAATAACGTGTAGGGCTTATTCGGCACGCAACGTTTGAGAGTTTCTGGTTTCTAGCATTTAAGAAAACACTAGTAAAAAGAAAAGGTTTCGTTCGGCGACAGAAGTGTTTAACTTCAAACCTAAACAAAACGCTCAAAAATCAAAAGCTACATCAAGTAAGCTACATCAAGTAGCTTTCAACACAACACTCCAAAATCAAACACTACCCGCTACCAGCTACCTATTAAACGCTACCTGGTGCCTGGTACAACTATTTTTACCTAACACGCCCTAGAAGATCGGTTTTTTATAATAATTAATAAAAAATATATTTGGAAGAATTTTAAAAAAGTCCAATAAGCTTGTTGACACATTAGTCTACCTACATTTTGAAAAAACTAGTTTATAAGGTTTTTTTTTTTTTTAAACATGACAACCTAAATGAATTCGTGAAACAAGTTTGTTGTAGCGTCAAACTTTAACAAGTGTTGTACCTACAATACATAATAGAAGGAAATGATTCCGTTGCTCACATTAGTACAACTTTTCACCAAACCACTAGTTTGTCAATTGTTAAACTCATATATACTGTGACATCTCTTTTTTTTAACAACAATGTTATATAAATAAAAGTTATCAATAAGCTAGGGATTACAAGACATTAATAGATTAATCCAATCTTGGGGTTACACCACTTACCCCACTCACGATCTTCTCCTAGGTCTACTTTTCAACCAATTGAATGTCGTAATCTTAATTTCACTTGCCAAAACTTCGATCCTCATGTTGCTGCTATGAAATATTAGATTTCGGGTTCGGAGAATATCAATTAATTTGGATAATTTATAGGATCGTGATTGCAATCACTTTTTCAAAATCTGTGATTTCGACCCTTATGCCTGTGGTACCATGAAATCTGATTTGGGATAATCCAAGAGAGAAAATTTGGAAATCATGCCACTTCCAAATTCGAAACACAGAATAAAATACCTTGTTGTTTTGTATTTTTCAAAGATAAATCAAATCAAAAGTATGATTTTTGTGTGTATAAGGTATGTAACCCGTTTTCTGGAACATGCATTTTGTTCGTATACAAGAGGGAAAAGTAGTTGGTGGTAGTTACATGTACTTTTGGTGCCAAAACAAGCGGAACAACCTCCACGGGCTCTGCCTCTTGGACCCCTCTAAGGGTGCTGCCCCTAGACACCGCCAAGGCTCTGCCTCTTGGACCCCTCTAAGGGCGATGCCCCTAGACATCGCCAATGGGCGCAACCCCTTGGAACCTGCACGTGGACCTTCGTACACCTGAGTTCACATTAATCACCTAAGTGTGCACCTGACACTTCCATACTTGTTAAACAAATAAAACTCAGCTTATCTCAATATAAATAACAACTATACTAAAATTTGTTGATAACACTAAAATCACCAACGTTCCTCCGACATTTTAGTGTAAATCTTAATCAACTTAAAGCAAAACAAAAACAAACTCATGTATAAATGAAAATATCTTGAAGATTGAATTTTCACATTATTATAATACACATTTTAAATACTTTAGAATCAAGGTGTCCTAAGGATTGAACACATCAACGCATTTGAGAAACTGAAGATACTATAAGCATAAGTTAAACGCAATATCTAATGTTTCGTATTTGACACTATTACAATCATGTGTTCTTATCCATTCATGAGTGCATAAAATCCTAGCCCAATCTTTCTGATGCAACAACACTTCACACTTACATAGGTAGTCCTTCTATATCATGCACCTATTCATGCACTTTTGCAAAAGAATTTTTAAGAATTAAATCAATCTACTTTAACTCTACAGGTTATAAGCACATACCTTGGGAGGCAACAAAATAATAGTGTTGCAATCTTCACCAGCAAGCTTTCCACATTAAGTTCAACTTTTAGCATTGTATTAGAAGGGAATTGGGTATCTCAGCCATAGAGATATCAAGTGGACCGTAAATCCATCCCTATAAAAGACTTCTTTAGCAGGTCTCTAGCTAAACCCTTCGTCAAGTGATCAGCTAAAATCTGTTGATATCGAACAAGCTTAACAGAAATCATACCATGTGTAATGAGCTCGTGTACCATACTGT